TTTTTTTTTTTTTTTTTTGGGGGGGGGTGGGGGTTGGGGTCCGAGTCACTGTGTTTGTGTGTAGGTGAAAGATAGAAAAGAAGATGTACTGCAGGTTAGTTATTGTTCAGGTTAATTTGAATTGGTTGCTATCACATATTACAACCAATTCAACATGCATGGGGATGGAGTTTGATGGTTTGCAGCCAATTCACATATTACAACAAACACCATAAATAGCACTGGAGATTGTTTCTCTTTAATTTTTGTAATACACATCTTTTTGTATGGGAGCGACCTTTTGGGTCAAATGGGTTGAAAAATATTCTCCATGTAGAAGTTCAACAGAAACACAATATCAACCATTCAAGTGGAGATAAAATGATCAACATACCAAGAGAGTAACTCCTATACAAAAAAGAAAAAAAAAAGTGCTCATTCCCCTCTATATAAATGGTAAATGTATGTTCAGTCAGTTGGCCACGGCGTTTATGTCAAAGTTCAATTTCCCCTCCTATTAGTTACAAATTTAATCACCAAACTGCAAATTATTGGAAACAATATCAAGATTTAAACCCCAACCAAAAATCCTATTAAGGAGTAAACACACAAAGCAATCAAAACCAAGACCTTATTGGTTCTGTTTTCTTAAGGACCAAAAGCCATTCATTCACGTAGAAATAAAGAGTTAAAAGAATAATAATTCCATCCATCCAACCTAAAAAAGAAAAAAATGAAGCCCAACGAACGACAATAGAATTATAGGAAACGACAAATATTACGTTACTCTTTCCATTTTTTCTTTTATAAATTTTTCTTTATCTAAAAATTGCAAATTGCAAGTGTGCAACAAAGTACTTGACTTATCCTTACCGCCCTAAGCCTCTCTTGTTCTCGCTCTCCCTTGCTCGTTTCTCTCTACCTCTGGCTCCCACATCTTAGCACAGACAAACGGGTAAGTAAAGTCTCTATCTTTTTCAGGTTTTTGCTTTAAATTTCAATTTTTGCATTGCTTTCATCCCTAAAACTCATCACCCCATCTCAACCACAGACAGCATGTTCGATTATGATATCTGGGTTTCTGTGTAAATTGCGTTTGGATTTGGTGCTTTGGTGGGTTTTTCTGATTTTCAAATTATGTGGGTTTACAAGGAATGTCCTAGGTTGTTTAACCCTCAATAGAATATGTAAGTCCTTTGCCGGAATTGCTTCATAAAAGAACTTCTCATCATTTTTACCTTTCAAGCTAACTGCAAATTGTATTCACTGGTTTTGGCGATGACTGGGGTTGGAACCACTGCAAAACAATTTGGGAACTTGTTGATAAAATTGTTATTCAATTTCGGTGATGACTGTTTTGAACCCCAAAAGTTTACAGCCACTAAAATCCTTTTACTAAAATCGAATTAAGGGATAAGACTTAGCCTTTTAACTTACTTAGTTGTTTTGGGAATTGAAGGGTCAGTAAGTTCTCTCCACCATTCTGCATTAGGGTTTTTCTTTCAAAATACTCACTTTCTCTATCTGCAACCTGAAATACTCTAATGTACCTTAAAACAAAAGGCAAAAACAAAAAAAAAAGTGTTTGTTACAGTATTTAATTTTGTTTTCTTTTTATTTACAGAGAGCTAGTTTGGAAATTGAGCCATGGCATCCCAGATAATTAGAGAATGGGCTGGAATAAATAGCTTCGCACCTGCCACCCAGACTAAGTTGCTTGAATTGCTGGGAAAACTGAAGCAAGAGGTTCCTTTTTCTTTGCTATGTTAATTACATACTTTATTCTTATTTTATAATTCAATGTTTTATTTTGTTGTAATTCTATTTTAACTTTGTTTATTCTTGTGTGGTGTGGGTGTAGAATGTGAACAGTTTGACCATTCTTGTGATGGGGAAAGGTGGAGTTGGAAAATCATCCACTGTCAATTCACTCATTGGTGAAAGGGCTGTTTCTATAAGTCCTTTTCAGGTGTGCTCTTGCTCTCGTTTTAGTCTGATTTGAGCGGTTTCTTCACCTTGCCTTTGTAAATACACTTGGAATGTTTTTTTATTTTTTTTGTCTAGTCTGAAGGAACAAGAGCTGTGATGGTTTCACGTTCAAGGGCAGGGTTTACATTGAACATCATTGACACCCCCGGGCTTATAGAGGGAGGATATGTTAATGACATGGCACTTAATAATATAAAAAGGTTATTTTTTGCTGTATGTATTTGTAAATTTTTCAGTCTCTTGGGAAATGTGTTTCTGGCTCTTGTTCAAGAATTTATTTAATAATTCTAATGGACTATTAGTTCTGTTGGTTTGTTTGAGCAGTTTCCTTCTGAACAAGACCATAGATGTGCTACTCTATGTGGATCGATTGGATGCATATCGGGTGGATAACCTGGATAAGGAGGTTGTCAAAGCCATAACGGATAGTTTTGGTAAAGGAATATGGAATAGGGCTTTGGTTGTCCTGACACATGCTCAGCTCTCACCACCAGATGGTTTGCCTTATGAAGAGTTTGTCTCCAAAAGATCTGAAGCTCTTCTAAAAGTTGTTCGTCTTGGTGCTGGGTTGAAAAAACAGGATGCACAGGTGAGCAATCTCTTCCTCCCAAGTTTAGTCTTTGTTTTTAGCTCCATTTTTTTTTTCTGTTATATTGGGCATTTTCTTATTTGGTAAAGGCATTAGATAGGAACTTGTGTCCTGTTAGACTCCTAATAGAAAGGTGATGAAGCATGCGGAGGGGAGTTTATGCTTTGTGATAATAGATAAGCTTCAAATGGAGAAGATAAATACTCAAAATCCTGGTTTATGGGACAAGGATTTTAATTAATATTTGAAACTAGACAGGTATAAAACATTTCTTTGTTACATGTGTTTGGAAGAAAATAAAGATATGAACATTTCCGTTATTTAGTGCAAGTAAATCCTAGGATATTCTCTTAGTTGGTCATTGCTCTGAAAAAGAGCAAAGCAGCCGTGCTGTAATGCTGACATGATTATGCCATTTTATGCCAGGTTGCTAAGAATAAGATTTGGACACCATGGTTCGCTTTTTATGTTTTTGTTTTTGTTTTGTGTGTGTCTTATTCTCTGAGATGGAGATTAGATGAATGTGATAGATTTTGTGTCTCAACATGTTGTAAGATATGCATGCCTGTCCCGGAGGAAGGTCCTAACTCTAAAATCTTCAATTAAGTTATTCTGAATTATGTGTTATGTTCATGTTTGACAGAAATTATTTAACAAGAGGGTAGTTCAATGGGATTTATATTGGGACATGAAATACTGTACTGTTATGGATGCAAGTACAAACTAAAAATGAAAAAATCAAGAAAACTAGGTCTTTTGATTCAACATTTTTATTTTCCCTTTGTCAACGAAGAGTAGTCTTGTTTACATTAACTGGGTTCCATGAGTTTCTTGTGAGTTTGATGAATTTGATTTATGACTTAAGTTTTGAATCCATCCTTATATAATACTGAGTGATATAGTTTTCCTGTATTCTCTTAGGCTTCAAGTATTCCTGTTGTTTTGGTTGAGAACAGCGGGAGATGTAACAAGAATGAAGGTGATGAAAAGGTTAGTCATTTTCCTTACGTCATGTTTTAGTCGTTCCCCTAAAGTTCAGTTATTTATTATTCCATCTTTTTGTTGGTTGTTCTTTGGTAACAGGTTCTTCCCAATGGAACTGCTTGGATACCTCATTTAGTCCAAACAATCACAGAAGTCATCTTGAGTGGCAGCAAGTCGATCTATGTTGACAAAAAGTTGATTGACGGGCCAAACCCTAATGAGAAAGGAAAGTTTTTAATTCCTCTGATCTTAGCAATCCAGGTGAGCTTGTACATACTTTATACCTGGAGTTCTTTTTTCTCTCTATTGATGCTCTATTGATGCAAGGACTAATTATCTATTTTCATTTCTCTTTTCCTGTTAATAGTATTTCTTTGCCATTAAACCGATTGAACGAGCAATCAAGAATGATATTGCCAAAGAGAGTAGACCATCGTGGGAGATGCGGGATTCCGGTGTAGCTGGTCGCAAGTTTTGATTTGGTCTTGGGCCATCTATTCTCTTGAAAGTTTTACTGGTGTTTTCGTGTTCCGATGCTGATCATCTATCTTTTCTTTTCTTTTTTCCTTTTTTCTTTTGCCTTTTTCCGGGTAGCAGTTAAAGTAGTCAGTTGTGAGATTCTGCAGTATGAGTATTCTGCGGCATATGGATGTTGTCTTGAGGAATCAGATTTTGTACTGTAATTAGCACATCCTTTATGTTATTTGTGTTGCCATATATTAAGTGTTGCATGTGTGAAATACCTTCTTTTGTTGACTGATCATACTTAGAAGTGTCAAATGGGCCAGGCCGTGCTGGTCCGGCCCATTTAAATTCGTTCTTTTAAGTTATTTGTGTTGGGCCGGGTTGGCTTATTTAATTTATTTGGTTGTGCTGTACTGACTCATTTAGTAAAATCATTTATTATAATTCGGCCCAAAATTCAAATCCACATTGAAACTGGCCGGGCTGGACTCGGGCCTAAGCACCAGCCCATTTAATTTGAATTTTTTTCACTTGATTTATTTTTATTTTTATAGAACTTATGTTTAGTTTAGGAACTGACAGTAGAACTTATATGGCATGACTGTCAGTTCCCATCTCTCTCTCTCCCTAGACGCATCCTGTTCTGTTCAATTGGTGTTTGAATTCTTTAGCTAGCAAGTGGGTATTTGAATTTTCCCTTTTCGATGGTTAGTGAGTGTGGTCGTGAAACTAGAATTACATCCAACCATATGACCAAAAAAGAAAACAAAAAGAATTGGCTAAGTAAATCCCTTTACAATTTGGCTGTATTCCATGTCCTTTCTTGGTAGGTAGGAAGTAGGTACCCTTTACAATTACGAATAGGATTGTGGCATGTAATTGGTTTTGCTTTAGGTTTAAGAGTAAGGTGGCTGGAAACTGGGAAATAGTTCTTCATGTTAGATCATGTAAGATGAGAGTCTTTGGGGGCATGGAAAGCTGTTGGCTTTAAGACTTTTCAGCATCGTTTAAAGGTTTTGGAAACTTAAAACTTAAAGTTCTCAAACTAGCTACTCATTTACAACTTTACTGTATATGTATCAGTTGGCTTATGCTATACAAAGAAGAAAGCTTCATCTCACATTTCTTTCTTCATGCTAGAATTTTCAAGATCCAAAATTTAATTAGGAGGCTGAAAGTTAAACATTACTAATTGGCTTCTTTTGATTACCTGTCCCATGAATTGGAGATTAACTAGTAGGATTCATTCATGTCCCTTGGTTAGGCTGATCTCTGGACAAGACCATTTGGTGGAGTCATGATAGTATATCTAAGGTGTATTTAGAAGTTAATCCTGTTTTCTGGGATTAGTCATTGGTATCTTTCAAAGTTTCAATCCCCTAATTTTATTGAAACCTCAAACTATTATCTAACTTTTCAAGAAGAAACAACAGAATTTGAGGGTTTGTCCATCATATATATAATTAAAGAGTCAACTCCTTTCCTTTAATTATATTGATCGGGACCCCTTGAAGAATGGTGTTTTGGCTGTTCAAACCATACGCAACAACATAATGGCATCTACACTGTTGGCAACAACAGCTATCACTTTGAGTTCTCTGATCGGTGTATTTGTGAGCACGTCATCAAACTATGGCAACACAGCATCGAGATTAGTTTATGGCAATAAGACTGCATTTCTCTCTCCGATCGAGCCAAGCTTGGTCTTGGGCCCTGTTTGAAGCGGCCCAGGTCAAGCCCGATCCATGTCGGGCTACGAGCCAATCCAATCTATTTGACCTTATTTTTTTATCTCAGTCCGGCCCAAACTTTTATGCCGTGCTGAGCACGGCCCATTAATATTTGTGCTTGTGTCGTGCCGTGCCCCATTTAAACGGGCTGGGGTCGTGCCATGCTGGGTCGGCCTGTCCCGTTTAACACCTTTAATACTTCAAGTATGTAAAGGCGCCCTTCTGTATATTTGAAGTGACTCACTACGGATCCCGAGCCTCTGCATTTAGGGACTGCATTTACCAGTATTTGAGAGAATCTTGAACATCCATTAAATCTAATGGGTAAAAGCAAGCCACATAACAAGTTATTTTTTCTCCCCAAAACGCAGAATTTAAAGCTTACTCCATTAGTTTTCTAGCTAGCCTTCTGTTTTATGGGTCAAGGTTTCATTCCTCAGCTGATGAACAAAATCGAACATCTTTCTATACCAAATGTTGGAACCCAGCAGAGCAACGCCGATACCTATTCGCCTTTACCCTTTGCGTTTTTTTTGTTTCTATCCTAAGAGATTTTTTTTTTTTTTTTTAAAGCGTAATGCTAGGTTTACCACATTTTTCATACCACCATATTTCTAATAGAAGTGGAGCCCACCAATACAATGAGACCCACCTCTATTAGAAAGGTGGTATACAATGTGGTATGAAAAATGTGGTAAGCCTAGCATTTTCCTAGTTCATAACGCATTTTATCATTATGTATCTAGGCTTCACCACTGGTGTTTCATGTCTCAGTCGCTAAATCGAGGACACCCCATAAAACGAAGGGCCAAAGCCATTTTTTCATCAACGGGCTCACCACAACCTGATACTCAACCAAAATTAATTTGGTTCAATACATGATCTTCCTGAAAAACTCACCTTTTCTTTGATCAACTATACTCTGATGCTCAACTCACTAGAGGTTTGTTTTTTCATATTGAAAAACTCATAAATATGGGTAACAATTGTGCCAATGCTTTTCTGTGGTTGAAGAAAAATTGTTCTCTGAATTCATTGTAAATTCTGCTATAAAAAACAAAAACAAAAAGAATAAGAGGAAAAATTAGGGAAAGTTAGAAATGGTGTGTTACGAGAGAGAAGAATAAGAAACAAAATCCAGTGTTGATGCTGGTTGGTGAACAATGTTGGATTACTTAGTTGTTTAAGATTTTTCCGAATGCATATAAATGTACAATATTTTACAGTAGAGACTCGATTTTATTCATCATAGGAAGAATAAAATTTTGCCCAAAAGAGAAGATGGAAAATTGATGCCGTTAGTTAGCTGCAATAGTGTGTTTTGCGAGAAAAAAAATATATGCGACGTAACTTGTTTTTACCCATTGGATTTAATGAATGTTCAAGATTCTCTCAAATGCAGGTAAATCCACAGGATTTAATGAATGTTCAAGATTCTTTCAAATGCGGGTAAATTCACAGTCCCTAAATGTAGAAGCTCATTGATTCACTCAGTATATGTGTTACAACTTCACAAAAATTGAAGTTTAACACTTTAAAAAAATTGAAATTTAACATCATTTAACTGTCACACTATCACACTATCACGCGATGTTACGTCGCATATATTTTGTCAATGAAGCACTGAAATTTTTTTCCCACAACCGAGCATCATGCACATAAGCCAGTGTCGGAAACATGCTTCGAAGTAAAGGGAAATCAGACAACCGTCAAAAGAAGAAAAGAGACAAAATTATATCATACGATTTCTGTTTGATCCCAAAGAATAAGGCAACAATTAACATCAAGTTGAAATGCATATATTATGAGAAAAGATGTCTTGTTTCTTTTATACCTCCTTTAGGTCCCCTCCCTAGAGCTGACACACTATCACCAGATAATTTAACCTACGACTACAGATATGATCCCCTCCCCAAACTAATTCAAAATTGATGAATTCCATAATGCGCATCAAGGCCAAAAAGATGCACCAACAAAGAAGAATGTAAACTGACGGGGTCAGCACTATATGGATGAAACAAAGAACCACAAAAAAATTATCTCCGGCTTGTGGCCTTGCCCTTGCTTAGACTCGCAAGTTCCTCGATGAGCTTCTTCTCATCATTGCTCAATCTCTTTGGGATTTCAACCTGCACTCGGACCAGCTGATCACCTCTCATGTTGCTCTTGTTTAAAAGAGGAACACCTTTCTTGGCCATCACAAGGGTCGTGTTCGGTTGAGTCCCAGCTGGAATCTTCAAATCAACCATGCCGTCAACTGTTGGAACCTTAAGTGTAGTCCCCAAAATTGCATCAATATACGACACCTTGCAGGTGTACAAAATGTTGGTATCATCCCGTTTGAGGACAGGGTCTGGGATAACTTCTATAATAACAAATAGGTCACCAGGAGACCCACCCCGCCTTCCAGCATTACCTTCATTTCGGACTCTTAAACGGCTTCCAGAGTCAACACCAGCTGGAACTTTAAGACTGATCCGCTTCGTCCTCCTCACCCTACCATCCCCGGAGCAAGTGTTGCAGGGGATGGATGTTTCCCCAGACCCACCACATGAAGAGCATGTCATGACCTGCTGGAAGACACCTAATGGAGTCCTTGCTGATTGAACAACCTGACCTTGCCCACCACATGTGCTGCATCTGGATGGCTTGGTGCCTGGTTTAGCACCCGAACCATTGCAAGTCCCGCAGCTCTCCAACCGGCTAATCTCAATCTCCTTTTCGACCCCAAAAACTGCTTCCTTGAAGTTCAAGACAAGATTATAATATTCGTCTTGTCCATCAACCGCTCGACTCCTAGAACCTCTTCCCCCCATTCCGCCCATTCCGCCCATCCCGCCCATACCGCCCATGCCCTCAAATAGTGACTCAAACAGATCAAACGGATTGCTGAAATCCTGAAATATTACAGTTCACCATCCCACTGTAAGAAAGTAAAGATACAATGAATAAAACTATTTTTTCCCAATCAAGATTCGAGAGGTACTTACCCCAGTACCCATACCAGCACCTTTAAGTCCAGCCTCTCCGTATTTGTCATATAGTGATCGTTTTTCATCATCAGACAAGACCTACAAAGATTAAATAATTAAAATAAAGACTACAACAGCCACCACATCAATGATGCATAATAAAACCATGTTTTTACCTCATATGCATTGCTAATTTCCTTGAATTTTGTTTCTGCCCCTGGTTCTCTGCAACACAGAAAAGAATAATTCCCACAAAATGAAAACAGACAACATTTACCAAATAGATTGGTATAAACTAAAGCTAAGCTATAAGGGAAGTAAAGGAAAGACTTGAAAAAAAACAATTCCACTTGCAAAACAGATAAACACCGGTAATATATATATCAAACTTCATAAGAGGAAAATTCTGACTTCAGCTACCCTACTAGAACAGTTTTACTTCTATCTCTTCAATAGTGACAAAAAGGGAAAAACTAATGTGCCAACTCCAATAACTTGTGGACGGGTTTGCATGTCTTGACATTGAGACAAGGTAGCCCAGCACATCAACTTCCAAAAATCCAGACACGAGACATCCACTACACATATATATATACATAATTTGATAGTTCGATTAATATCTATATTTGAGAGAATACTCGCTTGGAAAAGAACCACAGGTAGTGCTGAAAAAAAATTCCTCACGAGGGACAGCAAGAAAGTTGGGCATTTTTGATAGGACAGAAAAGGTTGCACCATTTTAGCAAAAATATAATTTGAATATACGACCATTAAGAGATAGAGATGTTCAACTCAGCCTCAATGCTTCAATCAAGCTTTGTGTCCTTTTCTAGTGTTCATCTTACCAAACCCCCGCTTACAACACAGCCCATGAAAACTGACTAATCTAAACTCCGGTCACTTTAGCCTGGGTGGTGAGATAAGGAACCAGATGCATTTTGATCAGATTCAGGTCTACCAATTTTGAAACAGCCACATAGCCCCAAGAAATTAGCTACTGCAAGTGATTTCTAGCAAGCTGCCCTTTTCAAATCCAACTCATTTTTCCACTTTACATACATTCATCCAAACCTTAATTTGCTCTACCAAAGCCTTTATGCATCTCCTTCGACAACCCTAAGATTTAAATCACAAGCTACTAAAATCCCCAGGCCAAGGTATGAACCTATATCCCACAAGCAGCTTTTTTCTCTTAAAGCTGTACCACTATTGACATGCTATTGACATGTTATAAGGGATATGAATAGAGCCAACGGTTTGGGAGAATATTCTTCATGGCCTTCGATTTGCACTTATTTCTGTTGGTATGCTACAGTTGTATATAATGAAAAATAAACTAACCATAAACCTTCAAACATACTACCATCAAATTCT